AGGGTGGTGGCATGTGGAACTAGAATCAGTGAAAGTAACGTCGGTATGGGCCCAACTCGATCTGGCATCACCCCCATTCTGCCCATATCCGCTTCTCGTGTGCCCCATCAGAATTTTCGCATGTCCGCTGTGACCAGGTATTTGTACTGTGTTTGCTAGGCCGTGTTTTTTAAGCTTTACTTTATCAGGTAGGTAGGATATTGGTAAGTAATCGGGTCCAAAAAAGAATAAGTACTACATAGATTAGAGAAGAAACTGCTAATCCATTATTAAAGCACAAATTTATGTACCTATATATTTTCGAACATGTAACTTCATTAGCTCTCGTAAATACTCGTCACTCATGGTCATTCCAAAATGAGCAAATAATAATTTTAAACTCTTCATTTCTAAAAATTGTTATAAAGGAAATGTGAAACAATGGAAAAGTACAAATATTTCAAATATTTACTGGAGATCAAAGATTACTGTCCCATTTAACAACTTTTACTTGTCCCATTATTGATTACAGATATCATCTTTATTCAAGACCAAGCACAAAATTCACGCTACTTTTCTAAATCTTTTGAGGTAGATTTTTGGCGTACTCCCTAATACAAAGTTTATACCCCTTTATATCCCATCTCCTACTTATCGTGCATGGTTTCAGGTATTTTCTGCATAATAAACGACGACCATTTCATGCCTAGAGCTTTTTGCCATGAAAAATAGCATCCGTGATACCACTGTGGCGCTGTGAGATTTATAGTCATTAAGATGGCTGATTGTTATCAGTCCTGCAGATCAGCAGCCAAAGTGGTTGTATTAATCAGACCTGATTTCTAACCCGCTAGTTAATTTCACCTTCTTGTCAATAGGGCTATAGCAAAGGGAGTCCTACAAATAATCGGCGTTGGCTGATGTCCTTTTGAACAAAAGGGACGGAATTCCTCATTTATTACTCACTGAATACATGGTATAGGTCGCGCGTAAGTAAAGGCAACCAAGCACACCGATCTACAAGTCGTTAAATACATCGTAGCGCCTAGAGTGTTTTCCGAAGTCGCAGTATACCAAGATCGCATGTGGAAACGTTTATTACTAATTTGCAGAAGAACTGAGAGGCTATTAGCATGCCCAGAAGGCCAAGTGGTCCCGCCCACTTAAAAACAGGACAGGAGAGTTAAATTATGTATAAGGAGACATTCCGCACTTTATCCTGTCATTGTCTGCATATTAGTAATGGTGGCTGCTAAGTTGTTCCATTACTTGCTGGCTTTAAAGGTAGACATGTTCGTAGCGTCCGCCTTCCACATCGCCTAATTTCTGAAAAAATCTTGATATTTAATGAGGCAAAATGGGTTGATGTCTCAAATCGTGCTTACTCAGTGGGGATCATCCTGCTACTTCAGCAATTTTCCCTACGAAGTGAATTTGTTTGGCTACAGAGTGCAAAAAATTGGTTACTACCAGCTAAATACGTTTTGCTTGTTTTTTGAACAAACAATGGGACAAGTCTTTTCAGCAAAAAAGTCCAACTTTTTAATTTTTCTTCTGCGAGAAGTCAATTTTATGTTGGGATACCTTAAGATAAACCTGGTTTTTAAGATTTACTTTAACCTATCAAAAGTGAAATAATTTCCGAAAAGGCAAGTTTTTTAGTTAATTTAGGTCAAAAACTTCAGCTCAATTTAAATAAAACTAACTATAATAATTTCTCGTAACTTGTAATATTTGAAGGATGTGATTTCTCATGCGATGTAAAGAAGAGATGCGTCAACCTTTGCTAATTTTCTGCCAGTTTAAAGTATTCCTGCCATAAAATCCTGGTTGAATCGGATTTAAATTAAAACATTATTTCTTTAAAAACTTGAACTGAATTCCAAAGCCACATTTTTAAACTTTTGTAAAAGCTACTAAGTGACTGGGCCTCACCAGCATACTGTGCCTTAAAACGGCAATAAACTTCAAATTATCAGTTTTTTTAATCTCTGTCACTTATATCATAATAAGTACGGTTTCTAGACTGATTGCTGACTGCCCGAGCAACTTATGTTCAGGATAGGCTCTTGTGTTTCATCATCTGTTGGGCGAACAAACCTACAACTGGTTATCCCCTAACTCCTTGGCCTTGTGTGAAGGTGGTGAACATCAACGGCATTGTTCATCATGAATTTTGTACTGAAGGGTAAACATTTATGACCACCGCCTTGGTACAACTTCATGCAAACTATGCATGCGTAGGAAAAACTTTTTCGAAAATATCCGCTATAAGTCAATCAACTGAAAGAAATACGGAAGTATGCAAGTGATGTTCATCACCTTTGCATAGCGTATAAAGTAAACATCCAAATGGAAGATAAAAGTGAGGTAGAAACGGAAGTATTTAAGGTTTGATTTATTTTCTTACAGCCAGCCTAGATATCTACATTTTTCGAAAAATAATGCAATGGTAAATAAATTGGTGATTAGTTGAACGATTGCATTAGTTTAAATCTTCAAAACCATACAAACTGTGCATCGAAAGACCGAAACAAACACCAAATGTCTTGTTAAAATACTTTTTCTTAAGATATTTTCACAGATTTTCCCCAAATTTACTCCAAAAATTCTTTTGTGGAAGTGGCTTTCTTTATAAACTATGTGTATATATTTAGCCACTGACTTTAGGACTGCATGAGACTCGATACGTTCGAATTCGGGAACGGCTTAGTTTGATTCCTTATACAATGACTATAAAGTGAAATAGCATTTGCTAAAATCTTTCTTTCCTTTTTTGACTTTACTTGTAAAATTATAGAATGAGTTATGCTAAAAATTTCTCCCAAAAAGTGGATTCGACAACAGCCAAATATGTCAAATTATCATTGATGTTCTTTAATCTCTTCAAAATAAGCGATTAAAGTGGAAAATTGTTCGATTTTGAATCATCACTATTTATTATTAAAATAACGCCTTTTTCGAGCTTCAAAAGTAATTACATTTAGTTGTCCGTAGATGCTTGAAAGCAGTTTAGAAACGCAATCCTAAACCGAGTGATTGATGTGATCCTTGATTAGTTATTTGGCATAGAACAAATTACTATATTCCACTTTTTAATGCACTTTTTAAGTGAATTATAATACATAATGCAAATTTATAAATCCTATTTGTCTTCATTAAGGATTTGGAGAAGATTTTACTACCGGAGCAAAATACAAGCCAAGCAGTGCGCTATTGTCAACCGTCAGCGGAGCTGTACACTGCTAACTGATAGAATGGCTGGAAGGTTAATGACACGAACAGAAAGCCATGTTCCAGTGCGGAAGTGTGACCTGCAGAGAATAAAGTGTCGGCGGATTTAGGGACACAGCTAAATAGGATATAAAATCGCAGTCACACTGTAGTCAGTAGTTTAAAGACCACACGCGAACCAGCAGCACCAGTCATTAAATTTTCTTGCATCTGAGAGGACATTTATTCCAAACGTCACTGCATGCGCGGTCCCTTTGTACTGAGGCAGGAAAAATGCACTGGCTTCATACCGCTCACAACCAAGTGGTGCTCTACAACGAGGGTATCTCATGCTTCAACCACTAGCCATAAAGAAGTTGGCCTTAACGTGAAGCCATTTAGCAAAGTGCCTGATTTAAAATATTTTTACGGAGCCGTATATTTTGTATCTCTTCCTCCTTCTCACCATGTTTTCATATCTGGGCTGCCCAGCCTTCTGCCTACCCGGGCTCAATTCACCTGTTAGAGACATGCAACTATCGTCCATTCACGTAATTAACTTCTTCATATAGGAACCGCAAGAGCCTCCATAATAGACTTTCCGAAATTATTTAATTTTACCATCACTTTATTTGTAAATAGCATTTATTCAAAACGCGGGATTGTGGTAATCGCCAAAAGTTGTTGTCATTTTAAACCTTCTGTTAGGACTCTCCACAAATTCGTCCACGCGTAGCAGTTGATCTTCTGCGGCGTTGAGGTTTAGCATGCAGGCATAGAAATCAGGGTACTTGTCCTTTCGGGTCAAAGTTGTATACTGACGCCACTAATGTTACGTTCCACGAATTCGCTGAAATAGTTGGAGACCAAAGTGGTGTAGAAAAACATTATTTAGTAACGCACAAGAAAAGTTGGGGGACTACTAGCGTGGCCCAAGAATCATGCCGCAGAGCGGAAGTACAACGAGTAAAGATTGAGGCACCCACTTTGTTCTGCCAAGTTGGAAATGTAGATTAATTGCTCAAAGATTAAAAAAAACTAATTAAGTATCCTCTTTTGATGTTACAGATTGCTGACTAACTTTTGCTTAGACAAAGCAAATCAGCTGCCAAGTCATGGAGCTCGATGGCGATTTTGCTTTAAAGCTGCATAATTTCTTTTGCAATTTTATATTTTACAAAAAAATGTTTCTCCTCTTAAAGTGATTACGATTTAATCTAAGAGCACCCTTAAAATAATACAAATGGCAGAATGGAATTCATTTAAATGCTATGAAGAAAATTAGATGATCTATTTGCAGAGTGTCACCTCAGAAGTTGTCTACAAACCGTGACGGGCGAGCAATGATTAGTGCCACATATCCCGAAGGTCAACAAAGCAACACTCCCTCCTCTATTACCACGCCAACAACTGCAGCGGTTGCGGCAGCCGCAGCAGCTCGAAAACGTGTGGATTTTGCTCCTCCTCCTCCGCCACCACCACCACCGCCACCACTACCGATACTGCTGACCTCCAGCCGTCTACCCACCTCGAAGATACGAAACACCGCCGACACTTTCTACCAACGTCTCTATCATGCCAACAATAGCGGAAAGAACGCCAACACTAACACTAACATCACCAACAATGGAGTGGATGAGAAGGGTCACTACCTACGATCTTATCGAAATCCCCGAAATCACAACAATGGTGATTTTGCTGTCATAAAGTAGGTTTCTTTTAAGAAAAAGAACATATATATATATTAAGTCGCTGTACAATTAAAGACAATTTTACCAAAATTTCTTGACAAAATGAATGCTTTTGCGTATCCTTTTTGTCAGTTGGCACCTGTCAGGCTACTTCGAGCTGTCTCTGTGATTCCATGTCCAAGTTATGCATGCTTTTGCGTATCAATGGAACTCAGACTCTACGCGAACTACTCTAGTCAATAAAACAAAAGCAATTGCTGGAAGAGGCACAGAAAATAACGAATTTGATGGTGTAGAATGAATGTTTATTTGTCTGTCTCTAAGTATAAAAAACTTTAGGGTTTGCCACATTTCTTGTAATAGGGCGATTACGAGAACACTCTCTATTGTTCTATGAAGGAAGCTAGTGATTTTCCTTTCATGTTTACCAATTTTAGATCAAAAAGCCACCAGTTTTATTGGACAGACCTGTTATTGTGATATTTAAAGGAGAAAATTTTTTTAAATTTAATTGCATGTTTAGTGACAGCCGTGGTCTTTATCACTCGAGCTTATCACTTAAGGATTTGAACAGGAAGTACCCGCGTACAGCTGCTGTTTTTTTGGAAAAGTTATCACTTATTGAAGAGTAAATTACGGCAGTGTTAGTAGCTAAGCTCAAGTGTCTTAAGGGACTTGTTTAAAATTCTGCCATCTTTAAGTATACAGAATCCAAATTTCCTTAACCACTCCTCCTTCTGGACATGTACATACTGTCTTGCATTTAGATCTCCTCTACAGTAAATAATTGACTATTCCTTTCATTCCATAGACTTTACATATATTTTTATAAAATAGCTTTTTAGAGCGGCTAAATTGCTAGGCCTTTCTTCTAAAAGTGCACCATTTCATGAGTGAGTAAGATATCTTGACTTACTATCACCTTTTTGCCAAAAAAGTTGGGTAATTTATGTGTGCATACTTTGATTCTTAAATGTGGAAAAGTTTTGTAATGATCAGCAACTTTGAAAAATATGTAATAGCATGGATTTCTTTGTGGTTGGCACCGCCTCAGCCGCTGTCGTTGGGAGCGTTCACACTTTGAAGTGTAAAAAGCGGCTGGTGGTAGAATCAGGAAAAAACACAAAACTTTTGGGTCATTTTCTACTAAATAATGTTGAATTAAGAAAAAGGTAACCATCTTACTCTAGCCTACTTTTTCGTAGTTTATTCCATAACCAACTTCTCCTTTACCATACTCACAAAGCTCGGTTAAAGAAGAAAATAAGTCCTAATTTCTTCCGACACTCCACTTTTTCATAACAATAGTTTAGGCTAGTGATTTATAAACTACACGTGCTAAACTTAATCTCTTTCGAAATTTGTTTTTTCTTGATCATTTGTTAGATTTGCTTGATAGTTACGGCGGTTTATTGCATGGAATATAAGCAAACCTTCTAATGACATGACAGATAGAAGTTTTTATTTCATAATAAGCAAAATTAACCTTAAGATTTTCTTGTTTCTCACCTTTTTTACCTTAAGGATTCTTACTCAGTTAAGTCGCTTTGGCACACCTACTGGCCGGATGGTCATGCAAGATTCTTTGAATACGTCACACCTAATTGGTCATATATTTTAGCTTTTTGCGTTTATTACCTAGTAGCCCGACGGAAGCTATTGCAGTCCTCACACTGAAGTGAGTTTGCACTTGGCTGTCGGTAAAGTGCTCCATGTAACGTAGTACTGTAGCGTCCTGGGACTTTGCTGAGGAAAAAAAGAAAACATAATACTCGGGTATTTGGACTAGTGGCATGGCTTGAAGGCCAGCCCATCCTGCACGGTACAATAGCCAAGTCAAAAGTAGTTCTTCACCAACACCGAGAGTTAAGCAACCTTCGTATTACATAGCCCCTCTCCTCTTTTGAGGAGACGGCGGTTTTAAGGGGCAACTCTTCTGCAAAAATTGTAGTGGCCTTCAATTTTTTTGCGCGACTGGGTGATATCCAATCCCCAAACATAGTAATTATTTCCGTACTTCCCATCTTCATGGAATCCTTTTAAGAGTTACTTCATTGACACCCATGACAGTTTCCAAGAATGAAGAAGTTGTATTTTTTGAAAACCCATAAGGAGGAAAACAGTCGCGTCACACTTCAATCCAACTGTTTAAAACGAAATGTACAGTGCGTTAAGTAACAAATTTAGCTGAGTTTTTGTTCAGGCGCAAACAAACGTGCAACTAGTGCACTGGATCAGCCTTGTCCATTTCCTATTAATCCGTTCGCATCAGATAAACGTGTGGTTGAGCCACTCCTGCATTGGGCATTTCTTATGCACAGGCAAAAGTCCACATTGAATCTCATTAGAATATGTTAGGGATGCGACCTAGTTTGATAAGATTTCCGGTCTTATTAGTATGGAATGCCACCATCATCATGGTGTTTTTCCTTCCAAATGGCTTACACATGCCTGGGTTGCATCATTTTGGTGCTTCTTTTAAGTGTGCATTTAATCAGCTTCTAGTATTAAATAAAACCCTAAGGATAGAATTCCTTGAAGATTCAGCAGGGCGGATCGACCTACCACTAATGTTGGAATTTGATTTTTGTTTCAAAAATATCATGTTTACTCATTTTTTCCATGTTAAACTACTATAGCCTTGAAACCGAGGCCGTATTGGCCAATCGGAGGCCCTCTCAAAGGAGCATGTGTTTGATGGACATTTCGTCTCCCCCATTAGGTACAACAGCGCCAATACTCACACCACAAATGGCCGGGGTAATGGTCCCCGCGGTGCCTCCCCATCTCCCCTGCCTAGTCCCAATCAGGCCAATCGTCGCCATGTGCGCAGCTCAAGTCTGAAGACTCACGTTCCACCGACTCCCAGCAGTCCTGTAGTCTACGCCGACATTCAAACCAACTCCCCTCCCGAATTTGACTATCGGCCACGAGCAAGTGTGCGTTAAAATCTTTTACCATCAATTTTTATCACTTTTTTAGTTGTTTTTCTCCCTTTAAAAATTATTAGGATAAGGAAAGGTATCAATTCAGTTGCATTATACGGCATGAGTTGTGTCTGAACACGTTGTAAGAACACAGCATTTTTGAAGTGGCTTTATTTGGATTATCCAAAAAAGGACTTTCAGTTCAGGCAAACAAATGACTTGAGTGGAGTTTTTGTTACCATTGCAGAGGGGAAAAAGTTGGGGGCAGGTTGAGTCTAAGCCGTGAAATATACTATTAAAACAAATGTTATTTTGACACCAACATTCTGTCATGTTTTGGACATCATCTTTAATGTATTTTTGCTGATGATCCTTCAAAAATGAATTTTGAAATAGCATTTAAACGTGGCTAGCACATTAAGGCGAGATAGATTACGTTTATCACCCAATTCTCCTATCAAAACGTATCCTACGGCGATTTTTTTAAAGACTAAAAGGTAACACACCCACTCCTTTACTTCGTTATCAAATCACTACTGTCCAGCTCTTAGTTCCCTATTTACTGGGCCATACCGGCTTTGTTACTAATTTCTGCTCTATCTGTGCTGAAAAATCTTAAATGTTGGGTTGATTGATTTGCATAAATACTGGTATAGTCTTTGATCTCTTCTGCAAATCTTGTTATTTGCAATGCGTTGATCTAATCATAAAATTTATCCCAGTAGTAACCGACCATTTCACTTCATCGCATTTTTCCCTTTCGATTCTAGTTTGTTTTCGTAACTTTCTCTTAAAAAGTATGAACAGAAAGTGCATTTTCAACAGTTATCCACTAGGGCATTAAAAGTGGGAGTGACTTTGAGTGTGTAGGTTTTTTTTCTTATTTACTTATCTACAATTGTATCAAATTTCAGATGGAGGTTCGCAAGAACTTAAAGTAACGCTAGTCGACCCTTTTGATTATTTAGCACCGATTAAAGAAAAACCCTGCAAATTTGGCTTAAACACTATGTGCCTACTCCGCGTTAATTTCTCGACAATCAAACTCTAACCATTGCATTTTGAATGAGAGACTTTATTTTACCCATAAAAACAAAATCTGACCGGTAGGAGGTGACAAAAAGACTCCAAATTTTAGGTTTAAGCTCATTTTCTGTGTGCTCACACAAATTATAAGGAAACTGGATATGAATTATAAACTATTTGTCTTTCTTATGTCAATTTTTGCAGAAATAAGCTTCTTCAATTGCCTTTTTGCAAAAGGTTTTACCTTTATGCCGCAAAGCGCAGGAGTAATGTAGTTGTTTATCTAAAGTTTCCTCAGTAATCACTTTTTTGTCTATCTAATTTGTTTGCTTAACTTCGCTGATTTTTAATTATAAATATCAACTTCAAGTCCACTTCTGATTTTTACATCTGAGCGCCTTTTAATATAGTCTCTCTCTGCGGATGGCAATTTTAATGTAGGATCTTTGACACCGCAATCTTCCTGTCCTTTTAAATACCACTAGGGTTTGAGTGACCGTATTTCACCAAACTACCCGGGTCTTCTGCAATATAAAACCTGAAAAGCAAAACGATTTATAGATTGCAAATATTTGTTTGAGAAGGCAAATTACCTTGGGTTTAATTAATCAACATACCTGTTCCTCTAGTCACGTCACAAGTCAAAGCATATAAGATGAGTACGTTTACACTGATAGTGTGCACTACCTACAACACAACCTTCTAACTTGGTGATGTTTAACCAAAGCACTAAAAAACTATTACGCGACCCTATTGTCACCTTATCGTATAACACGCTTCTTATCCGATATTATGGATGCTTTAGTCCTTGGAACCACGGCTACCAGATAACGTGAGTCTAACACACAAAGAAGACATTTTTTTGCACATTCTGATTTGCACGTAGGGTGAGTTTGCAAGTAGTTTCTCATCGCTATTGCCGCTATTGGTAAAGAGTGCTTTAACTGACATAAACTGAAGAATTAGTGCAATTTGCGTGCTATGCGGCTAATTAATTGCTAAAATGATTTGTGTCAGTGTATCATTTTGAAGTCCTTGATGCAGCAACGGGACAATTTGGCAGCGGGTTGCATGAAATCATCGTCATTTATTCAATGAAGTGAAGTAGGAATTCCAAGCTATTGCTAACAGTGTAGAAGTAGTATAGTCAATAAGCTGGAAAAACTAAAATCACTTCCACATCTCTGCAAAATAATGGTGTCTCTCGTAGTAGCCCTTACCCTTAATCAAAAAGCAATTGTGTTCTTTTAAGCATATTCTTTTCCCTTCGTGAATACCGATTAGAGGGGAGAGAAAGAGAAAAAAGCTCATACCTTGGAGTTGTGTTGGGCATCGGTCAATCAAACTTTACTGCAAATAACCTCTGAATGCTCATTGCTTTTATTCTACTAACATCAAATTATATGCCTTATGCTCTGCACTTTTTCACTCATTTATGCATTCTAAGATACTTACTTACCCTGATAGAAAGATTTTGTTTTATAAATGCAAAAAAAGAGTTGAAGAAACCCCTTTTCTTTCCAGCCAACCTGTTAAAAGTACTACTTTGTTGTGGCTGCTCCTATGCATGCGGAAGAAGGCAAACAATTACGGTAGTTGGATTCAAAGCTCAGGAAGTCACTCGGATGGGCGTTGCCCCTTGTAGCCTTTTGCTGCTCTCTCCTTATTAATTTTAATGAGGCATTTAATTACCACTTTTTTAAAAAGCAATTCACTGCACAGCTCCCATTGCTTTTGAATCACCGCCTCTAGTTTTTTTTTTTCATGGTGACACTTTGACTTAGACCGTGTCAAGTGTTAACCAAATAAATACAAAAAAGGCTCGAAGATGATGAATAATGAGATGCAGTCAGGACTTCTGCATATCGTTTCCTCTAGTAGGGAAGCTAAATCGGAGAGAATCCATTTGAGCAGTTGTGCCAGAGAGTGGACAGTGTTCTTACAGAAAAATAGTCCTATAGACGGATGGCTTGTCATGGTGAAATTTGCCTAAAAGTAATTTTATAAAGATGATCGACTAAAGAATGGTTTCATTTGGGAAGCTCTTCTAGGCCATTGTTTAAAGTTTAGTGCGATCCTTCGAAAATTGTGCCTTTTCTTCCACAGGTAATTCCCTAGAATTTAAAACTTTGCGAGACGACAAAAGTGGACGCGAATCGAGTCCCCCTTTAGTTGGGATTCACAAATCCGGCTATTAGTAGCAATTACCTTCTTTTTCGCAACGTGCTAAGCTTCCGTCAGTCAGGCTCACAATAAGCCAAATCACTAATGGAGGCGATATACTCACCAGTGTGTTGAAGGGTTGGAAGGCAAAAGGCATGATTAAAGGGTCATGTTAACCAACGAAAGTACAACTTAAAACTGAATAGCCTGCGTAATTTGGCATACGACCAAGCGAAAAGTTAGAACATGGCAGCATAACAAGATTTCATTTTAGCGCTTCGCTGTGGAGCATAAACCTATTTTACGGAAGTGCCAAATTCCTTTTTAACAGGCTGTTGTCTATTGAAAGACTCTGCCCAAAAGTTACTGACCTTAAAAGCAGTTTCGTTACGGTCAAGAACCATTGTTTTACCCGCCGGTTAAATTATTTGAGTTTTGTATCGTTTACCTTATTATTTTGCAAATACACCCTACCCAATCTTTGCCGTTTGAATAGTTTTTTTTTTTCGCTTGTGCGCGAATAAAGAAATGCATGCACCTGATCAGAGTGGGAAATCACATTCCTCTTTGCACGCTCACAACTTCGAGATGTTGTGAATGCCTGATAAATGAAGCTTTTCTTTCTCTTTTCTTTTTTCCGCAGTACCACCAGTCTTTCAACGAGTAAAGGCTACACGCACCTACATACCACGCACATAGACGCCTCTGAAAATTAGAAAGAACGCTGTCTTTCGTGAGGGATCATCCCTTAAAGAGCTCCATTTGCACTTGACGGAACGGATTTGTAAAATCGTGTGTTGCGATTTGTCCTTTTTCACTCATATGTACTCCTATTTATCATTTGAGTAATTTTGCCCATGCTGCTACTTTCTACTGCAGCCACCGTTGTTATTTACCATCATCTTAATTCCCTTCCCAACGTCAGATTGTATGCCATGAAGAAGTGGCAAATAAGGAAACAAATCTTCTTACCTTACCATTTGAAAAAAATACTAGTTTGTGCGCACATGGACTTGTTACTTTTGGACGCATATTTTGCATAAATGTTAATGATGCACCAAACAGTCTCCCATGGCCTATAATAAATAGGACCACTTTCCCCTTCCCTCTATTGTATCTCAGCTCCACTCTTTACCTTGTCACTCCTATTTTTCTGACAGATAAATTCAGAAATGTAATCCCTATTGTATGCATTGCGATATACTGAAGGCTATTTTGATCGTAATAAGATTCTCGGCAACTTTTCAATGCTAATCAAATCAAATGCTACTTTTGGCAATTTCAGTAGAAATAATAAACATCGAGAAAAGACTCCGACTCTGGATCTCGTTTAAAGTGCTATCATACTGGGTTATTTGTTTGCTCAGTCGCCTGATTTTTCGATTGTAGAGATGCGATTTATTGGTTACTAATCGAGATAGATATTACTGGTAGAATAAATTAGGGTTGTGATGACATTTACGGGAATAATGTGTGGTGCAGCTCATGGAAGAAAACAGGTTCTTCAGCCTGCCTTTTAGTGCCCATAATTTGGTAAAATAGACGCATTATAATAATTATATGGAGTTATATAAAAAAGTAAACTCAGGAGAGGCCGGGAAGCCTTAAAGAGGTTGGGCGCCTTAAATTAAAATATATAATTAACTGAGAAAAGAAAGTCTTTATGCCAAATTGCATGCCTTGTGCGGAGTATTATACAAATTAAGGCCAAATAAATCCGGAAGAAAATTCATTTCTCACTTTGACATTTACATATTTTGAGCATAATCATTCTTCTAAAGGCGAATACATTACAAAAACTTATAACTTTGTCAAAACCACTTTTAAAAGATTTGCAGTTGTGTAGCAGCATTAATGTTCAACGTTTGTAATTAGGATATTTGGCATTGGTTATGAGGATGCTTAGTCTGAGAAACTGTAATCTTACATATACGCCAAAATGCAATAAAAAATCTCATGTTGTGATCCCTAATTCTATAATGTGACATCGAAAGCAAACCATTTTGCTTTTATAAAAGTTTGTTTCTAAAGACGAACAATCTAACCTTAGCCACTTCCGTTTCAATCTCACTTTTATTTTGCACTCAAATGTCCATCACCCATGTGATTTTATTGTACCAAGCAAAGATGATAAGCACAACTTTGAGAAGTATCTTTAGAGAGGTAGGAAGGTCGAGGCAGTATCATATTGACCAGCCCTGAGCATTTTTGGAGAGTTGTGCCACATTGAGTTAACATACATAAGCCCTCAGCAAGATTGGTTTGCAATGCACTGCAGAGACGACATTGTTTCCTGGGGATGAATTGTTGAGGGCTGAGTGGTGAGTGGGTCATTTGCAACACTTCACTTTCCAACCTATTAAAAAGAAGGTCTTCTTCCGCTTGATGCAGCATTCACCACTGGACTGAAGCAACTGCAAACTGCGTCTAGATGACACGTGCTGATGCTGCACCTTCACTAAATGCCAAAAAGGAAACGTTGTAGCATCGGGTCTGTGTCTAACCCGGTTCGCAAAGTAGGCAAGCCATAATTGCATCCATCAAAGTTGCTTGACATTTTGCAATGTGAGGAGTCAAAATGAGAGGAAAGTAGTAGAGAGACAAATGAGGATTATCGTATTGAGCGACTGCTGAGGAGCCTTCAATCAGCAAGTATCGTCTTATAGGGAAAAAGAAAGAAGGCTCTAGCTGAAAATCCTTTAAATACCCTCCATATGGAAAATTCGCGGTTTGTGTAAGGTAGAAACAATCACCCTTAATTTGGCACCAAAAGTAGGCTCTGTAGAGAGAAGGCTCAGTCCAAAATAACTTAATCAATCTTAGCTTCCCAAATCGAGAACGGATCCATGCCATTGTTGGAGACCTGCGCCATTATTTTCCAAATGAATTATCCCGACACAACAGTTCCTAAATAAAAAGAGCACACACAGAACCCTAATATAATCATTCGTTAGTCGAGAAGTGCTGTTTGAAGGATTTAACTGTCCCCTAATGGATACAACAGAAAAATAATTTTCAAAGATCGAAGGCGAGGAGGGAGACGACTTCAAAACTGAGCCTAGTCTGGCAACGCCCCATTTGATGCATTTACATTTAGTTTCAGTGCAGCAGGAACACGATGCTGCACAAGTCAGAAGAGTGAAAGTGGACTCTAACTTAGATTTCAAAAGACGGCAAATCAAAAGGGATTCTACCAGTCATTTTGCTGCATTCTAACATTTAAATTAGTCTGTTTAGCACATTCTATGGATTTAATTCATTTAAATATAGTGACTCGCCGTTTTGTTTAACTGTCGGAGTCCTCCCGGTCATGCCAATAACCCTTCAGCTTTCCCAACCAATGAAAGAAATTCAAATTAAGTGCCCTTCGACTGATTAGTTTTGATACTTTTTGCTATCAACTACAAACTCTCCCGCAAAAAAGAACAATGGATATTAATCAAGCACCCATGTTTTGACTTGGCGGATAGCCTCAGATGCTCTGGTAAAGCGCATAATCTAGGCTCTTCTAAAGCACAGTGAAATAAAGGCAATCCATCCATCTGTCGGTAGGGGATAAGGTCCACAAGAAGGAAAACTTAACCGTGAGTAATCTAATCTATGCCAAAGTTTTGTATTTAAAAATATAAAGGATCTGCATCAATGGTGAAAATTACTCAATCGCGATCCCATTAGTGAATTCACTGATAGGTACAGATCATTTGGTTAATGTAGGAAAATCACACACCAAAGAAGAGAAGAAGGCAAACAAAAAGTTAAACACGTTCTATTCGTAACATTTGGATTTGGCAAAAGCGGAGTAAAAACACGAAAACAATGCAAAGGAGAAGAAGAACGCTGGACATCTTTTCTATGCAACAAAGAGGGGAGATAATTCGAGCAAGGAGAGAGAAGGAGGAGGGGTTTACATGTGTGCAGGATGATGGCTCAACATCGGGATAAGCATATTTGAGGAAAGGGAGCGGATGCAAATCAGATGGACAGCCGTGAAGAGTGGATACCGCTCGCAGAGGTGCATCGATGAGAGCTGCGTGTAGATCTACACAAAAGTAAGATACATGTTTAATGAACCAATAGAGCAAATGAATTTTTTTTTCAAATCCCCAATTACAAGATTACGATTACTACGCTAGTCCTGTTCACAAACTCTAGCAAATATGTGCAGCATCGGTTCGTCGAGACTCGATCGTTAGGATATCATTATATGTAAAGACCCTAGATTTACATAAGAAATTCCAACTTTTAGCAATTATGTAAGCAATTCTTATGTGTGTCTGGGCTTCAAAAGCCATCAAAAAACGTGGACCTAGTTACAAACAGTCAGGAGTACAAACAAGTTGCATCTGTACTGAGCGACAGACGCCTACCAATGATTTAAAGCACAAAGCTGTACCAAATCTTCCAGATTAACAATCTAGCACAACATTTAGATTGCTAAGCCTTCTTGCTGTGATGGAGCATCGTTGTTATCGACGATACTGAAGAATGGCAACACCAAGGGCTACGCTCCAAACAAGACTGCTGATATATCTTATTTATGCAACAGCATTATGGAAACTTCACGACGGAGAAACAGAGCTTTGACCAACTAATACGTACTTTCGGGTGGTATGCAAAGAATTAGACTACTTTCGAATTCTGCAACGACTTTAAAGATAGTCCGGATTCTACTTGAATATACAAAACTTAGTACAATCAGTCTCACCTTCTTTGCTGTATCGGGTCCAGAGGCCACAAAATCAGGATGGAGAGACTGTTCAATCTGTTCCACTGTCAATTTCGAGTACTCCGGCTCGGAGAGCATTCGACCGATGAGGATGTTGAAGATGTCCCAATCGTCACCCACCTCGGGCATTAGGTCACTTTGACGAAGCATACCTGCACAGAGCAAGCGACAACACTTTCTTCTTGCGCTATTTTAGTGGCAGTGACTAAATAATTCAAATTTTCACGGGTCACAAGGTTTTGTAGGTCGTAATCCGCACTTTGTGCACTAGAAAGACCCATTACAACAGTTTTGACCCTGCCGTTTACATAAATCTAAAAACAAAGTTCAGCTGTTGATTTGTTGGACTTCTAATAGAAGGCTTTCGATACGTTCAAGGTCTTGAGAGTTATGACGACCAGTTTTCTTTATTTACGTTAAGAATGTATTCCGTCCATGAAAAAAAAATATGGGCTTACAAGCGAAGTTTTCACAAACAATCAACATTTTACATTTATTTGCTTAGATTTGACATTGCTAACACCTGGAACCTCTCGATGCCCATGACAAGCGTCAGAGCCGTTATAACTTGTATGTCGTCTGTTTTTTTTTAAATAAAAAAAATTAGCGACTTTGCAAACGCATTGATTGCTCCCATGAGCGGGGAAAATTATTTTAACATTATTTATACCCCTTGAAATCCAAATGCTGGAGTAAACACAAGCTAGTTAAATGCTCTTTATTCGTGAGCTTTCTGGCACAAATGTTGGGGAAGGGGAAAGTAGCGAGCAGATACCACCAATAAAACAGCCACGTAAGCGCAAAGACAAAGCATAATTTGCAATTACGCGATCTGCAAAATAAAGTGAACAGAGCCCTCATCTTTTCAAAGGTGCTCGTGACGTAAAAGCTTCCGTTAATGTGATGCTTTGGTTCCAAATAGACTCCTAAATTAAAGCAGTTGGGGAAAAGAAACCACCCCAAAAAAGTAGCAATTAGCACAGAAAATGAAAAATGCTAACAATTCAGTTAGTTGCTGAAATTTAAAAGCAAACGAGGAATTGAATGAAGTCAGCTTAGAAATAATTCAGCAACTTTGAGTAAAAATGTGAACCAATTAACCTTAAGATCCTTTGCTAACGGTGAAGGGATTACAGAAGGTACAAAAAAGAAATTGGCGATAGTAATCAGTGGGTAATAATGTAAGACTTAAAAACGACATCCTTCAACATCGCAGAAGACAAGAGGTTTTAATCGAAGCTAAACCTATTAATGTTGCTGCCTATAGTCACCTGCCTATCTACACGCTGACAACTAAAAATAGAGATGACTTGTCAACAGTTGCTGTCGCACGACTCTTTCCCAGAAGACAAAAACACTGAAGCTGGTATTAGTATTTTGGTATACCAAGTGAGTAGCCTCATTTAATGTAAGTTGAATACCTCTATTTTAAGGCACAAAAATTAACTGAAGTAACCAATAAAAGGCCAATCAGTATGCCTGCATGCGATTGCGTTTGTGTATGCGTACGTGGCCGAAGTTAAATAAAACATGTTTTCTACCAGCCGATCAGGAAAGGTGCTTCTGGCTTTCTATTGGATAATGTGAAGGTCAATCATGTCCCTCTATTCCATCGAGGCCGAACATCATATATGGGATCGAAAAAAAATACAAATCTACCCACTTCAATTTTATACCAAGAATTGGACGAATTTCCCTGATCATCTGATAAATATTAAAAGCTTGTCTACTCCCTCCTACTAGTATTAGTTGAAATTTTTGTCTTCACCTTCAGAAAACATGGCATATGATTCCATTCAAGTCTTGATACTTAGTCTCAGTGACTACAATTGTTTCGGGTAGGTATTTAAGTGTCTAAAATAGTTATCAACGCAATTTCCCTGCTGACATCTCCATCGACCACTTTGTAACACATCCACCGTCTCCTAAAGTGGATAATTCTTGTGCCAAATCCGATCTAAAATCATTTTTTCCATCATTACTGCTGATTTCCCGAAAAACATATGCGGAGAAGTGAGACAAAAGTTTTCAGGAAATTTAAATATTACACGATTTTGCAGTTTTATAAATATCGCCGCACGAAACTCTCTCGTTGGTTGGATTATTAGTGGCCTTGTAATTACCGCCTTATCCTATAAAGTGAGGGAAAAAGTACAAAAAGTTTTTGGTAGTAACTTGATTTTAACTAGTCAGAACTTGCAGTATGCAATTACCTGCTAACAAATACGCAAATAAAGTAGCATGATGCTCTTCATTAGGGTCTGGTGTTAAACCTTCATATCGTAAGATGCGGGTTGAATTTGATGTGGCCTGAGGTCATTTTCTCCAAGAATGCAAACTCAATTTCAAAGCTGAACCTCTCGTAGAGTACTTTGGTAATATTTGAAGAAGCTGCAGGAGCAGAGCTTTCTGCTCGAAAAACGGTTGAAAAAAAGACGTTTTACTGATTAATCACCAAAGACACCCTTTACGTTTTAATATTTGCTAAACTTATCACTTGGCACTACTCCATCTGCAGAAGACTATGCTTTGCGTGTGTGTGTGTATGCATCAGGTGGACTGCAAACAGAAGAAATCGCTAAGAATCATTCAACTTATAGGACTGAGTCCCATCATTTGGACACGATACAACTCAAAGGTATGTAAGAAGAGCCCCTTGGACTATGGAAACAATCAGAAAAAGGTCATAAGCATATTAGTGTGTCCTACACTTTGAAATTGATGGAAACAATAAAGGTACCTCTCCATCCTCCATATTCCCTTGATGATGATTTGCCAAGTGGTATTATTCATCCTTTCTCGACGTCAGCTTTCGACAAGCACATGATTATATACGAGACAGAAGAGAGAGAGTTGGATGTAAAGGTGAAATAATGGCGGTGGCCAGAGACAGGTCGTTAACGTTTAGAGTTAGCAGATAGCTTATTTCTCTTTGAAAAATGGATAAATGATAGACCAGAATATTAATGCAAGAGCTAATCATGAATATACTTAAAACATTATGCTAGACCACTAGTGAGTTCGTGTCTTAACCCTTCGTATTCCACTTGCCTATACATATAGACAAGCCACCACAAAAACCATGACAATATTTCTAACAATGTGATGGGATTAAAAGACAGCGCCAAAATAACGCCTCTTGCGTGGTTATTCCTTCACAGAATCCCTTTGTAAAAATTCCCAGGCCTAAGCTGATTTCTACCCATCCACACTTTATTCAGCCTCCTGACCGCATATGCACACGCTAATATTTCAAGCATCCAAACTCAACCGAAAAGTTAAAACGTAGTGATTTGTCTTCTGAACCGCAGTTCTTCAAAACATTTATTCCTAATTAGTTTGTAATTTCTTTTTTGTCACCCACTCGGGTAGGGGACAGGTTATTTTTTAATGTTCACTAGGGAATTTTGGGGCTATTTCGCACTTTTCTCCAAACAAATAAATGCGGGAAACGCTTAGTATCATCTTTTGTGTGTTTCATCGCCTCGAAAGAGCTCCAAAGTTCTAAATATGATACATTTGAATAAAAAACTGAGTTAGTACTAAAAACAACGCAGTGCTGATCGTATAACCAGTAAATTGCATTTAAAAAACCCACAATTTCGATGCTAGAGTGTCGGAGCAAAATTAATCAACACAGTCCTTCAAACAACTCAAAGGCAAAAAAATGTACTCGGTCTTTGAAGCAGAATGTAACTCTACATCTGGTTTGACATTTAATCCTCAGCTAATCCGTTTACAGCATTAGCTGGCAGAAAAACGCGTCGTATATTTGACACTAAGGGTGAAGGCTTCGATTCAGTGTGTCAACAGAAATTTTTGATACGAGGGAAAGCATCAAGCAAATAAACCTAATTGCCCATTATACTCGATTAGCCACAAATATTTGCTTTACTTTGATTCTAAATCATCTTAACGCCCGTGGATGCAGAGCCATGGCTAAAAAAGCTCGCAAGCAGGACAGCGCACCGAAAACGTTGGCACAGATGCAGACACGTATGGGAAAAGCAAGCAAGTGGGAAAGGGGAGAACCAACTCACATTTGAAGAGCTCCGACACACCACAACTTTCAAGAAGAGTGGATTGACGCGTATCTGTGAAGGAAAATGAAGAAACGCAATGACAACACAAAATTCACCGCCCAGCTTCTCTACTAGGAGAATGTGTATGCAGAGTCAAAGTATGAAAATTACCGGTCACCTCAGCACGGTCAATAAAATACCTCGGAGAAAACAGACCACCAAAGCCACCCAGATATCAAACTCTTTGAACCATCAAACCGGGCAAATCTACACCTACCTCATTGTTTTAAACTTAACCGATTTGCAATAGGCCCCACAAATTGAGAAAAATAACTCATGTCACATGAAAATAAATCGGGACTACACACTTGTAATTCTGGTAGAGAAGCAACTTATGGGATGAAAATCAGTACAGACTTTACTCCATGAATTACAGTTATGTAAGCAGAGTAAACCACAAATGAAAAGGTAACTTTGTTGCCAATTTGACGAGATTGGCCAACGGATCATAAAAACGCCACTGCGATACCAAACTGCCTCTCGCCCGCCCATGCTACAAACCCCCTCAACAATAGACCAACCAAATAGTGCACATAAATTAGGGTTGAAATGTCTAGTAATGCACCTTCAGTGGTATGCCTGGGAAGCAAAACGAAGGAAATTGTTATATCGGAATCGAACATTTTATGAAAAGCCTTCAAGTTGAACCCATACTTTTGGTATTTAAGAGTAAGATAAAAAGGAATGCTATTGCAAGAGTACTGCACAAATTTGTAAGTGGCAATATTATCCATTTTCTAATGGCTACCACATATATCATGGATCAGTCCACACACCTTCAGTAGAGGTGGTAAGCAACAGTGGTAGTGCATACCTGCAACAGGGAACTGAGATGTTTTTAAAAGTATCCTTCTGGATAGAGGACTTCAAACCATATTACGATGATGACACTCAGATAGTAAAGCATCTCAATGGCATAATCCATAACAGTCAGTTCTGTGAAAAATAGTCAGCACGCCTGATAAACGCATAACTTGTTGCGTGAAGGACTTGCGCGAGGGACGACCCTTTTTGCAGAAACGGAGGAAACTTACGCTGACAGTCATCATAGAAAGGTTGTACTGCACCCCAAGTAATCCCTTCACACTGGAGCTCTCTAGGCGTATGAATGTTACACTCTATGAAATGTACCATTCCTTTCTGTGAATGCAAAAGTAAGGGTTGGCTTCAACACCTTCAAATCAATGTTATCGAAAATCCAAGCCGATCCTGCTTTAAATCCATGTTTGAATTAGAGAAAGGTAATAGGAAACTCACCATTAAACGGAATCGGGAAATATACAAAATAAACGCCATTCTCAAGGCAACTTCCCAGATCATCAGCCCCCGATTTTACTGGAAACTCGACCCAACCGGATTTTATATCGCTAATTTTACATTAGATAAGGGAGAAATGACCAATCCTGAGATTGGCAAATGAGTTGTGGGATTCCTTTACTTGATGTATGATTTAATAAGAGTGAACTGTAGCATTTTTATCAATAAACCTCGAGAATTAAAAAGAAGAAGAGAAATCAAGTAAAACAGGAAAAAACAAATCTACCGAAAGGAAAAAAACGGAAACCAATGAATATGCCTGGAAGTGATACGTCCAAAATGGAGAAACTAAACAAACACACACACATATACAAAGTAACTCACGCTGGAACCTTTTATTACCTGAAGGTTAAGAAGTTGTCAATTCAAGTCAATTAAAAAATAACTAAAAAAGATTCAAATAAGTTCATTGTTTAGACATCCCGTGAAATTCTTTACCCTTTTTAGGTCATCATTTTACCTTGATCATCCCATCACACCCTTTAAAAGTTTGCTTAGTAATGAAAAATTTTCAAGTCATGGTGACAAAATGAGTAATAAGTTGTCCCCTACCATCTCATGATTACGACGACCTTTTAAAGGACTTCGTGACATCAATGGATGTAGAACCTTCTAGCTGCAGATGGGTTATCAAGGCCTCATTATTCCATCAAGGGTATTTAAAGGTCGAATCTTATGTCATTCGCAGATTTAATAGGTAAACACA